TTTTTTTTTTTTTCTTGGTTTGTGTTGCCCCTTTTTTTTTTTTTTTTTTTTTTTTTGGGCCAGGTCACTCAGGTGAAAGAGGTCTAGATCTTAGTATTTTTTTTTTTTAATCCGGTTAAATAAAGGTTTAATAATAAACAAAGAAAATGCTGGTCAAATGATTGTATTAAACTTTTATTCAAATTACGCTTACAGCTCCAGAGGTTCTTGGTCCAGAGAAGTATGACAAGTCATGCGACATGTGGTCTTTGGGTGTCATTATGTATATTCTGTAAGTCGCTCATTCTGGGTTTTCTATCCCTTCAGCTCACTAATTGTTAGATTATTTTTTTTCTCCAATCTTACCTTTTTAAATTCCCGACAGGTTGTGTGGATACCCTCCTTTTTATTCTAACCATGGCCTAGCCATCTCTCCTGGGATGAAGAAGAGGATAAGGATGGGCCAGTATGAATTTCCCAACCCTGAGTGGTCAGAGGTGTCAGAAGAAGGTAAGACTCTAAAGCTGAACTTTCTATTTTGCTTAAACAAGTTATAGAAAATTCTGTAAAATAACTTTTTTTGTTTTTTAAATAAATCTCTGAATAGATTATTGTATATTTTTGAATGGTGCACTTAAAGCTCTGACACAGGTGAACAATTTTTTTTTTTATCACGGTTAGAATTTGATGACGCCGTAATTATTAAACTCCTGCTGGTGTTTGAAACCTCCCAACAAACCATGACAGATTACAAAACTGATCAAGAAATTGAAACTGATCAAGGTGTTTCACCACTAAAGCTGCTGCCGCCCACTAAGCCGAAAGTCGACTCTCGTTTCACGAGTAATATGCAAGTTTTAAAAAGAAAACTGAAGCTACGTAGTGATGTGTAACTGTATAGTTTCTCTCCAAATAACAGATGCGGCACTGGATCGTCTTAATAGTTGAACTCACTTTAATTCACTTGGGAAAAATCTACGCAAATGTTTTTTTTTTTTGTTTTTTTTTTCCAACAATGTTTGGTAAAAACAGTGGGTTTTTTTTTTTTTTTTTTTTTACCAACAAAAGAACCGTGGTTTTCTTGAACGCTGCAAAAAAAGTACTTTGCTCTATTACATAAAAATAAAGTGAATCCATTGATGCATTGCCTCACTAGTATGCAACAAGAAGAGCCAATCAGAATTGTATACATCTGTGTTTGGTGAAGCTTTGTTATTCCAATGCAGATTGTAGCCAATTCCAGTTTTTAAATAATAATGAAGATATGAGAACAGCATTGAAAGTTTTTGAAAACTGAGGCATTTTAAGCTAACATCTTATAGTAGCGATTAGCCTGGTTAGCATGACAAAAAAATGACTACATTCATGTATTCATCCTGGGGAATATAGACCCTTATCTTACCTTTAATGATTCACAAAATCTCTGTATGAAACAGTGTGTCCTTAGATCCTTAAAGTCTTAAATTAATGTATTTAAAATTAAAGCCTTAAAATATTTAAAATTCATTACAAAAAAAGTAAAGTGGCTTTAAATCACAGATCTTAAATGTTGTCTTGGCAGGACTGTATATTCTATTTTCTTTTTTTTCCTCGCGGGACATTTCTGTCAGGTAAAAGGTTGAGTCACACACAACATCGTTCCATGACTCAGTGCTAATGTATCCTTGCTAGCTAGCTACGTAGCTTTTTTTTTTGCATCCGTCATGGGTAAGTGCAAATTTATCGCCAGTTTGCTGGATGAAGTGTGTACATGTCTGTGGAGATATAGATCTTAATTTCCATAACGGTCTTGGAAAGTCTCAAATTTGAGTTGGTGAAACCTTGTGAAAGAGGTGAAAGTATGCAAGTGAAATCATGGACATGCACGTCTTCTTTCCGCAGCTAAACAGCTGATCAGGACCCTCTTAAAGACCGAGCCGACCCAAAGGATGACCATCACAGAGTTCATGAATCATCCATGGATCAACGTGAGTGAACCATAATGTTCATCTTAATGGGTTTTGTAATTTCCTACTGAATTATTTGGGTCAGCATTACTGCTCTAACCGTAGAGTTGTTGTTTGTTTTTCTTCTTTTTTTTTTCCTGAAGCAATCAATGGAGGTTCCCCAGACCCCACTTCACACTAGTAGGGTTTTAAAGGAGGAGAGGGATGCGTGGGAGGAAGTCAAGGTGAGGCATTTGTTTTTCTCAACCTGAAGTAAGATGCAACACCCAGTAGTGTTATAAGGAGAAGGTGTGCTTATTTAACTGGATGATTTGCAGCTCTTTCATGGAGGATATTCTCAAACGTGTTAACAGTTGCAGCATTTGCTTTTGGCTTGTCTTGTGTTTTCTGTTTCGCATTATCCTGGCACAGCACTACATTAGTGCATGGGAGGTGTTTGTGTACTAATCTTTACATCTGGTCTGCAGATAGGGGAGGGTTGTAAAGAACTGTGCAGTTATTTCATAAAGGTTTGCACTGCAAGTTTTATTGCCACCCAACACGGGGGTGTGGTAAGTCTAGACTTCAGCACCTCTGCTGACTGTGACTTTCTGTCATTGATGGTAACAACTTTAAAGTCATCTGGTTTGATGTGAAAGTAACAGGAGTTGCACCAAAACATCTTGCATTTTTCAAATATGTGCCAAAGGTATTATAAGTGCACCTAAACAAATAAGAAATTCATTGAAACATTGATTTGTTTCGGTAATTTAATTCAACAGGCAAAAAAAATGTATGTAAATAGTCATTACACGCCGAGAGAAACTTTTATTTCTCTTAATTTTCAGGATTATGGTTCAGAAATAATTAAACCTTGTTATTCTGTTCTTCATAAAATTTCAAAATTACGTAAACGCATTGAAAAGGAGAGAATTTTAATGTTAATACACGCATGACCAGACTCTATTTGTAAAGCAGAGAGCCATTGTCAAGGAAGGTAAGCTACGAAAGATTATTGATAAGAATGCTAGTTCTAAAATTAATGAAACAATAGGGATCATTTTAAGAGTTTAGAGGAAATTATCTGGAATCAGAGCTTCAAGAGAAACGACACACGGGTCATCTCCAGGGCAACGACCGGAGATAACTCAAGAAATCTTTTCATTTATGCTCATGCTGATGTCTTCCATTGTTCTGTTTCTCAGGAGGAGATGACCAGTGCCTTGGCAACGATGAGGGTCGACTACGAGCAAATCAAAATCAAGACCATTGAAGACTCAACCAATCCACTGCTAACGAAGAGGAGAAAGAAAGCCAACAACCCAAACTCTGCTGCCCACTGAGAGTCAGGCTTGCATGCACATACAACACAGGTTGAGAGGAGAAAGCAATAATTTGTCGACACGAGTCGTACTGCATGGATTTTCTCAGTGTTTTATTTTTCTTGGTAAAAGTTTTGTAAAAGTTTTTTTTTTTTTTTTTTTTTTTTTTTTTTAACAAGCTCATCACGCTGCTGCCTGCAGGGTGAAGAGCGGGTACATGTATTTACACCAGAAAAGAGATTATGAAATGCAGGAAAACGGAGGAAAAGGGCGTTTTGGATCTCTCTCCCTCTCCTTCTCTTTTCAAGATATCAGATTGTGTAGTGAGAGGGGCCGTGTTGTTGGAACACAACATGAAGCCTTAGCATTAGCTGTAGTTGAAGTCCCCCCCCACCCCCCACCGCCCTCCCTTTACCTGTGAATGTTGTATCACGTGGCTAATCCCCAAAAATAGAAACAAGCGAAGGTTTCTCTCTGTGTACATGCAAAGCAAGCAGATGTATTTTGAACTGACGGAAGGAATGTAAAGACACTGTCTGTGGGAATTGGGAAGAAATGGATGCCGATTTCTGGGATTTGGACAGGAAGTGTCTGTCAGGTTCAGTTTGTCTTTATGAATGTTAAACTGAGGCCTATGCACTCAAACAAGGGAACTGTGCCACTGACACTGCACCTCACTTGTAGCCCTTCTCTCCTAACTAAGTGTGTGCTTGTCAGACAGAGATGGAACGAAGAAAGACACCCCAGAGCGACTCTTTCTTTCACATGTAGCTCACTGGAGAGGAGGCGACAAATACTGTATTTTTTCATGGATTTTTATGACCATTTTAGCCTAGGCCTTACTGAGTATTGCTTATTAGCATATAGCTTTTAATCCCTTCTTGGCATTTGGTTCAAGCTTTTACCAATGTTACCCTTCTGATTTGAAATTATCGGCGGATTGTATGTCAGGTTAAACCTATGCAGATGTTTGTCAGCTTGGAATACCTTTGAAACTGTTTTTTTTAATTTTTTTATTATTATTATTTTTGATTGCAAATGTGTTGGGAAGATGTTCTGCATCAATAAGATGGATTTCTGTAAGGAGCAGCATCCTGTACGGTACACACGGGCCCCTTAGAGGTTCTGTTAGAGGGCAGTAATTGGATTGATGTGGATTTATGTCGCCGTATGTTCTGCCATTTTCCTGAAGTTCTGAGTTGAATTAGAAAAACTATGGTGCATAGTCTAAAACACCAGCAGGGTTACCACACTGTATAACTCTTCCCCATCCTTAAGAGTTCAATCAATCTGCCAATACACTTCCTAACTCACTTGGGATCGTAAAAAATGATAAATTGTCATTTTGGTCTTGTCACTTTATAAAATGACACCCACATTACCAATTGTATCACATCTCTCACAGTGAGAATGTTTTTTTTTTTTTTTTTTGTCTTTCCCCGTCGTCCCTCAACTCGTCACATCTTTGTTGTGGAAGCACAGATGTGTCTCTTTACACTCGTCTTTCAGTGTGTTCAGCTTCACCTGCCATACTTTTTTGTCTGCTTCAGCTTTGGATTAAAAAAAAACAAAATGTAAAACAAAACCTGGCTCTTCTCTGTTTTTGTGAATGGGAAATCAAAGATGAAAGGCGCCACACATATATCACATGTTTTGCAAATGTATGAACATTTTTTTTTAAAAATCTATAGAAATTGTTTTTTTTTTTTGTTTTTTTATGGGGATTTGGTTTGCTAAGTATTTACCAAAAAATTATATTGCTTTGGAAAACTTAAATGTTTTGGGGGGATTTTTTTTTCTTTTTTTTTTAAGATTTATTTTGTGGAACTGGTGACTTTAAACATTCAGCAAATTTCTCAAGGACAGGAGTGAGATCCTGAGATCTGTTGCATCAAGATCATATGAGGCAGCTGAGCTACAGCTGCACCGACCGCATGACATCCTGCTTCATTATGTTTTATTGGGACTTTTTTTGCTATGGATCAGTAAGAAAACGAAAGGAAAATAAGTTAAGTTATGAAATCAAAATGTCATTTTTCTTTTTTTAATTTTCCCAATCTGAAAAGTGTGGCATGCATTTGCATTCAGCCCAATGACTCAATACTTAGCTACAATCACTAGTGAGATTTTCCACTACTCTTTTATTAAAAAAATAGCTTAAATGCATTGTAATTTAAATGTTCACGTCTTAAGATTCTCAGGTGGACTCAGATCAACCATCACTTGCATATGTTGAACCTCCAAGCAGCGCTCGTTACTGGTTCTCCATAAATGGCAGCCTGCAGCTCTGGAATGTGAGCCAGTTTGATGTATAACTCCACCATGATGGATGAATGACGGATTCCATCTTTGAATACATCATTCAAAGATGGATTCTTGCTCACGAAGCGGATCTCGTCAGAGGCCTACATACTGATGCTTCCTGGGTCATGTAGTTTCAGGACAGACTCTTATGTTCTCACAGATATTACCTATAATGAACTAATACCAGAATGTGAGCATGCCAGTGTGTCATTTATGCAAATGGCATCTGCAAAGACCAAGAAATTTAATAATCTTCTCTTCTAACATGGATCAGCTTCTTGACAACTATGCTTTACTTTGTCATGAAATTCCAGTAAAACAACGGTGGGATCATCTTCAAGGGCACTCCTGCTTAGTAAGTACTACATACAACCAATCTTGCCAACCCTTATGAAGCACTGAGTCAGCCAGTAGTATAAAGTCTTTCTTGACCTCTGTGTCCACATTCAGTTCTTTTTTCAAGTCAATCACGTCTTCAAATATGACTCAGTTTGTTGTGTCTGCTCGCGATTTGTGGGTTTTGACACGGGGGTGAACAGACTCAACCCATGACAGAATTGTATCATCGCTCTTTAGCATGAGTGACTCCTGGAATATACACGTTTACGCAGCAGAACGGCCCTGTAGCATTGACTCAACACCCGTTTGCCAACACTGGGCTGTTCAGAGCAAGTTTCCCGCCAGCGTGCAGGGCTGTTTCTCTGCAGGTACGGAGGCAACTGTGGCTTCTGAGCTTCCAGCTCTGAGTGTGATGAAACCGATAGTCATCTCTGGCTCGTACAGGTCTGCTGGGTAAAAGAAAAGACAAAGGGGGTAAATGGGCCCAGAGGGGAGTCCCTATGGTAGACCTGCAGAGGCTGTAACCCCTTACTATAAACCCAAGAAACCACAGGACACCCACCAGGTTGGTTTATGCAAAAAGGTGAGAGGCATTGAACGGGGGTGAATGGTCAGGGTAGGGGAGGAGAAGCTAAAACTTGTAGCGAAAATAAATACATAAACACAACAACTATGTTTTCGTTAATTATTTATTATTGTTTGGAAACGGCAGCATGTCATTGTTGTGTGCCGAGTTTAAAATGTGAGAGGAAATGCGGAGGATGGAGATTTCTCAGCTGAGGCGGTGACATGCAGTTGTTGTCGCTTTGAAGTGGCGTGCCATGCTGCCAAGCACACAAACACGTACGCATCCTCTTACTGAGTGACCCACGGCAGGCGAGCCTGCAGCGGCGGGCTCAGCTGAGCAAACTTTGACTAAGTTTGTCAAATGGAACAGCGTGTCTTTATCACTCTGACACATTTCACAACCAGCGCTTATCTCTGGCTTGTTTTTGGAAATCTGTTCGGTCTTACTGTGAAGCGCTGTAACAGTAACAGTCACATCAGGTACACCTTTACGGACATGCTGCGGTTGCTGCGGTTGCTTTGATTGCCTTTGCTGCTTCAGATGTTGCCGGGTTATTCTAAAAGCAGGCCTCTTTTATAGGAACTCTGCGCCATCTTGCTGGAACAGCAGTGAGGAAGACGTACAGGTGTATTGCAACAAATCACAAAGCCGTCAAAAACAAGTTGCGACATTTCAGCAATGAAAATGAAAAATAAAAAATCATATCACACACACACTGAGATATTAGTTTTTGTTTCTATAGTTTTCAGGCTTATGATTTTAAGATAATGAAACTCCTGGTTTCAAATTTTTCCAAAAATGTTTTAAAAATACTTTATTGATCCCAAAGAAAAAAAATAAACACTTGTGTAACTCATTTACTTAAAGAGTTTTAGAAAGTACTAAAATGTTTAAAAGCCAGACACAGGTGCTCCTCAAGGTTTAGTATCGGGACCCTTTTTTTTTCTTTCAATTTGCAGACATATTCAATAAATTAATAGTGTCCCAGTGAAGTTCGTTTGCTAGATTAAATGTATCTTTTCAAAATAAAAGCATTAAAGTATAAAACATAATTTTCATAATTAAGGAGAAATAATTACTTTTAATCACCAGTTTGTGTGAAGTGACTGTTTACACAAATACACAGTTATGCCTGTAGTAAGACCATATATCCGTGTAAAATAAAAGCTTGTCATCAAAGTGGCACCTTAAAGTATGAAAAACAGGAAGGATTCGTCTGGCTCATCTGTTTCTGCAAAGCAATACTTCAATGATAAACTGTTATAATGAAGTCGTAACACCTGCAGACTGTAACTTATGGCAACACTAAGTTGGACACCAAGTCTACTCATGGCATGCTTTTACAACAAAAGCTGGAAAGGCAATTCTCTCGCTCTCTCACACACACACACTGTGCACAAAAGTAGTTTTCTTCACAAATCACACTATACTTTCACAGGATATCAATATTAGGAATGTTTTAAGTCTGAATAAAATAAGTCACATAAATGTTGGCTACAGTTTCCCCAGATATTATTTAGTGAAGACGCATCTCTTACTTTAAATTGTATTAATTTCATTTAAAGCTATTAGTTTGACAGGGACACTGCACTCAAACATAGAACAGAATGAGTCTGTAACCGATGCGTTGCACAGAGCGTACAGCTGCAGCTAACTCACAACTCCAGTCCCTGGTTTTGCATTTCTATGCATTAAAATACATGCAATTTATAAATCAGAATACAGTAAGAATACATATGTATTCATGCAGACAGACCGCAGGACGGGACTCAAACCCAGAACCTTCTTGCTGCTGCAAGGCCAAAGTTCTACAAACTGTTCAAAGTACATAAACACACTTTATGTGCTTCGAAGCTTTGGAGAGGCCTTCTTCTCTGAGTTACTTGTATTCTTTGGAAGCCAGTAAAAATACTGGAGAGATTTTTGCAGCTTAGCCGCCAGCTATCGTCTTTCTCCCCAGTGTCCCAGGTAAAATGGTAATTGGCCTGTTTGAACCAGCAACCCACCTGCTGCAGAACAAACCCCTTCCTCCTGCCACACAGATTTAACTTGAGCTTAACTCAGTGATAATGACATCATGTGACTCTTTGAGTTTTAACAGAGACTCTTCTTGCACTGCCTTACCTGTAAAGTAGTAGATTTCTGTTTGAAACTAATCTAAACAGAGGAGCCTGAGGTATCTTCATCTTCGCTTTTCACATTACGTGTTCATGAACATCCCTTGACAGAGTTTAATTCTCTTCAGTGTTTTATTGAAGATTTCTTGTTGGTCCTTGAAAACCATTCAACAAGCTGTAAAAAAAATAAATAAATACCTAAACCGTCAAAACGGGAATCCACATGCACATTGTCATGGCCTGTCAACATCATACCCATATTAAGAAAGTACCCAGAGTTCCACTGGTTGCACAATAATGTGGTTGGCTTCTTCTGAGTACTGACCGCCGGAAGTACTGGTCTGTCGCTCGTTTTTCAGAGCCAATAAGTTCTGTAGAAAGATACAGGAAAAACAGCAGGAAGTGAATCTGCCGATGCCACTAAATACCCACCTTGCATCAGGCAAAGTGGGCTTTTACTCATAGCCATTCGGCGAGGCTGTTCCTATGACACAATTGCCTCTTTTCAGGTTCACTATACACACTCAGGGCAACGGTTTGACTACTTCTGACACATTTCATTATGAAAACCGACGTTTTTACACAGCGAGAGAGAGAGCAAGTATAGTAATCGTATCTTCGGGATCTCACATTTGACTCATGATATATTGGAAATTTGCCCACAAAATCTTATCTCCAAAGCAATGAATCATAACGGATGTTGCTGAGTGTTTTTTTTTTTTTGTTTGTTTGTTTTGTTTTTTATGAACTTGCGATGTGACATTTGCATAGTTGCAGCGTTTGGGAGGAAACATAGAAATTGTGAATCTGAAAACAATGCATAACGACGTCAAATCTCCCACATAAGTAAGAGTTCAGTTGTAGATGTTAATGCCTTCAGCCTTTGATGAGGTCCTTTGGGTTATCTTAAAAAGATATCGCAAATGAAATTTTGCTGAAGGTGCATTGTTTACTTTTTTTGTCCAATTATGACTACCAGACCAGAGCCTTCCTCTCAAGGCGAGCAAACAGTTCAAAACTGGATTTATTCAACTATTTACACAGAATGCAAATTGGTCCAAATTCAGTTCCAAATTAATATTTTCTTTCCAATAATAGAGTCGCATTTGGATTCAAGTACACACAGTCCTGTATGATCTTAGTTATTTTACAGAATAATTGACAAGTCTTCATCATATAAAGCTAATTGGTAAAATATTGTCTATCTAATAAAGGCCAGCTGATTTTAATGTCATATTGACTTAGCAGCAATCCCTCGTCTGTGAAGGATGGGACGACAGAAAAAGAGAGAAAAAAAACTTCCAGCAGCAGGTTTGAGGAGAACTCAGATCTGGAGCTCTGCATTGTTACTTTTGACACGTTAAGTGACACTCCCACACAGAGCGTCATGCCGAAACCTGCTGAAACATAACAGATTTCTGGGGGTTTTAGCCAAATGAAGTTATTTTCACCAGAAGTCAATCTTTTGAGACATCAAGTGCCAATTTTCCATCAAAAATGGTGCAGCGTTAAAAACGAGGAAGAAGGTTTTGAAAGGAGCCTTCAAGGACAGAAAACACAGTTGGAACTCGGTAACTAGTGGACACACCCACTGGAGAAAAGAGATAACTGGACTTCAACTTAAAATGATTCATGATTTATTTTAAAGGTATTTTTTTATTGCATTTATTGTGCTTCAGATAAAGTCATGAATGCCAACTAATCTTCCTTTAAATCTGGCACATTAGCCATACAAATTAGCATTCCTTTCCTAATGTACAATACTTAAAGAAAAATTCGAATATCCTACTTTTTTTGGTATGTATTCCTAAATATAAACTGTCTGACATTTATGAAGATTTGATCATAGCTAACTCCCGCCATGCACAGCATATAAATAGAGCTAGTGTGACAGGCGTTTCCCCAACAGCCTCTCTCTGGTTCTCCAAACTGCGATCGTTCAGACTGCCGTCAGCATATACATGTCTTGCGTTGGTTAAACATTGTGAACAAACAGCTCCAGAGGACATCCTACTTTTCAAAAGTAGAGATACAAACAACATTTTTTGATCACTTTTGCACTGTTCTGACAGCAATAAAAAGTAGCATTACTGAAACCAAATATGTATTTGTTGTTCCTTTTTTTTTTACGCACCAGGTGCAGCGTAGAGCAGCTCGGTGTTACAGGTAGCTAGGAATGAAGTTGTTTTCATCACTTGGCAACCATTTTGGTAATTGTTGTGGCTGTGTCACCTACCCTCTGCACCCACTTTGTCTAATGCCTACCAATCATCAAGTTGGAAGGTAGAGATCAATTAACCAAACTGCATATTATTGGACCGTGAGAAGAAGCCAGACTACCTGGAGAGAACCTACCCACGAATGACGAGAACATGCAGAAAGACCCTCGTCTGAGGAATTTGAACTGCTGACACTCAAGGCAACACTGCAAGCAACTGCTCCATTGTTCAAACTGCAATAAATAATATTCCTGAAAAGTGTGTAAAGGGGACAAGGCTGTAAAAATAAATAAATAAATAAATAAATAAATAAATAAATAAATAAATAAATAAAGCAACAAAGCAGTTTTTCTCTTCACTACTAATTATTTACAACATTATGTAGAGTTTATGTTCGTTCAAACCCTCTGAGCTGCTCTACTTTACAAGAGAAGTTTATCCAATGAGACCACTCTGTAAAACAATAACTTATATTTCTTCAGAAAGACAACAAAAGGTGTTGTGTGTAAAGGTCTTTTGGCTAAAGTAAAAAGAGATAGTATCATTCTTGTAGCATCTGCCAGATACTTAAAGACTATCATGCAACGATGAATTGCAGGATCCAAATGCGATGAGGAGGCAGGATGGTAAAACTCAAATAGCTTATCTTAAAAAAAAAAAAAAAAAACAGACAAAAACTGAAGTCCATAGATAAATCCAAAATAATAAAACACAAGGAAACCGAAAGGAAGCAGGGTGGGGGCCTGCAGGAAGTTAACAGGATGAAGAGCTATTTGTGCTGGACGAGGAGCAGGTGGTTGAAACTGAAGTTCAGCTGAGGTACTGGGACAGACGACTGTTAAAATACACAAGGAACGTGGGAAACAAGTAAACAATCTAAATACTCAGACGCAGATGTATCCCAAACCCAAACACAGCAGAATCCTGACACTCTCCACTGCTTCACTTTTAAGATCAAAGCCCAAAAAAGGGAGCGCTGCCATTGGAGTTCAGACGTAACGGTTCCCTTTGCACCACTGTGCACAGTTTCACATGACCAGCTCTAGTTTTTCCCACCGTACTTTGGTGTCTGACTAGAGATTTACACTCATTCCAAAACAACTGCATGTGGCCATACTGAATACGCACACCGCTCGTTAAATTCTCGCTATGTGGTTGGGCGGTAATGAAGCGATAACTAATTTTAAAGACTTTTGAAAATTACTATTTGCAGTGGAATCAACATTTGTTCGTATCATCAGCTGAAAAAACACTGTTGTTAACGTGGGTAAAAACAGAGTCCTGGTTTGGAGGACTGATGTTATGAATGATAGCTTTTTCGTAAGTACTGTCATTGCTGGATTGATACTATTCAAATCCTCCCACACTGACTCAGCATATGACTGAAGAGGCGCCTCAGAGTAGTTTCAGTGCAAAGCCCTGAGTCAAGTATGGAGCGAGCGGAGTCATGAGCTTACAGACCCTTCTCTGAGAGCGATACCGCTGCGTAAAATTTAAACGATTCTTCTGCAAGCTGCATGATGAGGCTAAAAGCAACGCGGCATCTTTTGCGTGGCACTAATTATTCACAGAGCAGCTTAAAGTTTACAGAAGATTTGAAGAATTTCATCAAGATATTTGCATCCCATACAATAAAGGTAGTTAAAGTCAAACTTATATTAAGTGGTGTATTAATAATTATAATAATACAGTAAACGTTCATTTTACTGTGCACAGATTGTTTGGAGCTGAAATAAAAAGAGTGCAAGGCGACTCTCACGTTTGAATACACGGTTCATTTATAACCCACAACACTTTTGCTCTCCAGATGTGTGTGTGCGTGTGTGTGTGCGTGTGACTAAGCAAGATTCTTTCTGCATGCATGCGTTTTTTGTGTGCAAGTGTGCATATGCCATGAGGGTGAGGCTGGCTAGTTACAGTTACGGTAAATCGACACACAAGCTCGGTCTGCTGCTGGTAAGTGATGTATATGGGTCATGTTTGAGGTTAGAGGATCAGCATGAAGAGTTTACACATTAGTTCTACATGTATTTAATCTGCAGGATGTGAAAACGTATGTATTTCCTCGTTACTCATTCCAACAAGCAGTCACATGACGACAGTTTCATCAGCTAGGTAAATAATGTCAACCGAGGATTTTTTTTTTGTTTGTTTTTAACGATCTTTATTTCTATGAAAAAGTAGAAAATGCAATAAATATAAAAAAAATACATTAAATGACATTTAGAAGTAATAAATACTCTCTGCACTGAAAATATCCATCCATCCATTTTCTGAACACCCTTGTCCCTCAGTGGGGTCGGGAGGGGTGCTGGTGCCTATCTCCAGCTAACGTTCCGGGTGAGAGGCGGGGTACACCCTGGACAGGTCGCCAGTCTGTCGCAGGGCAACACAGACACACAACCATGCGCACACTCACACACGTCTAGGGGCAATTTAGACAGACCAATTAACCTAACAGTCATGTTTTTTGGACTGTGGGAGGAAACCGGAGTACCCGGAGAAAACCCACGCATGCACAGGGAGAACATGCAAACTCCATGCAGAAAGACCGGGGCTGGGAATCGAACCCAGAACCTTCTTGCTGCACGGCAACAGCTCTACCAACTGCGCCACTGTGCACGACAGAACACGGTTCTCAAACAGTAAACATGTCCTTGGGACAAACGACTGTCTGTTGTCTCTGAAGAGCAGACAACACTTCCATACATTACATTCATAGTTCTGGACATGATCGAGTAGATGCATGTTAGTCTCAAACTCAAAGATTGTCCATTTTGCTTCCCAAAACGCACACAGCAGTAATAATCTTCATTAAGGTCAGCTGGTCTTCAATGAGAGTTTCTCTTCCGCTGAGACGCCAGGTACGTCTCGATGTAGTTGAACAACTGATCCAGCTCCCCCATGGCCTTGTACACACCTCTACTCTCCATCTGCAAACAAATACACATCCTTCATTATCACACTTGAACAACCGATGCAGAAGGCAATTTTAGGTCCGTCACAATACGTAATGACGTAAGCACTGTCCAAACACTCACCTCGGTATATGTTGAATTTAGGCTCCTAATGTCAAACGGCTTCTTGCATTCGAAGACTTTTCTCTGAAAACACAACAGAAAAGATGTTAGAACTTGAGTTGGATGGCCGTCCTACACAACAAGGAGAAAAGTTTCATAAGCAGTAACTATCCGCAGCAAGAAAGCTAAAAAAGGAGAAACACTCTGTGTGCTTCTGCAATCACTGACTAATCGCTAAGATCATGGCCAAATCCTATGAGCCATGGCTGACCTCTTCCTCTCTCGCAGCCGCATAGTGCGTGGAGAAATTATTACATGCGTGGGTGGAAATTATTAAATGTGGTTTTTAACGGTCTGGCATAAATAGTTACATTCCAAAAAGTTACAACAACAAACCTGCCAACATAGGGCAATTTTGTAATGTAAACATGACACATATCGACCACAGACGAGCTTCAGAATTTTAAAGTTGGGGCATGGCTTATTTTGGAAAACTTCCACAACCACAGAAAAGTTTGCATTTTACAGTCCAATGCTCTGCAGCCGTTGTAGAAGCAGAACACGTGTTTGAGCTACTTACGCATCTGTGGACGTCCCTCTTCAGCTCATCAAAAATCTGCTGTATGGACTCCACATGGGTTTTCAGACTGTTGTCGATGGTCACACTGGCCACCGCAGTCGGCAGAACCGTGCTCAGGTAAAACTCCAGGATGCTGTTTATGGCTTCACAGGCAAACTGGCTCTGCAGGGCGGGAAACAAAACACAACCAGTCTGGTTACTGGATGACAAGTGCAACATATGGAAAGCCATTTGTGCCAAACATCTTTTATAACACATCTGGTAAAGACAACAATATAGAAATAGATCGTTACATAGCTAGGATGCCGTAGAGAAAGTTAAAATTATGTACTTTATGCTAATGAGTGACAAAAAAAATGCTGCTTTCTGGTCTTGAAGTGCAATTGATGCCTTTTCATGACTAGCAAGAAAAATAAACAGAAATCTACCTGGTCATAAACAAGCATCGATTTTGGTGCTGTGTAGCATAAGAAAAAAAAACAAACAAACAAACAAAAAAACCGTTCAAGCGGTTTTTAAGCTTTCTTACTAGACAGGTCAGAAGTAGCTGTCAAATTTTGGCCCTAATGGCTTGCCATAAGCAACTGCTTCTGCTGCGTTATCGTGCGCTCTGGTGTATTTCCTCATTGAAAATTTCATTAATCCTTTTCGTTTGAGTTCACGCTCACCTTAAAGGCATCCTCGACGCTCTGGTCCAACAGTGCATTGTCAAAGTCGTCGTTTGATTCCTGGAGAAACAAAAACGTGTTGAGTGGGAAAGCGCTTGCACCTGTAGAGGCGACTAAAGCGCAGCATCACGCGTCGACCTCCAGCGCACCAATGATGCTGCAGAGCACGGAAATGCTCGGTACTCACATAGAAACCTCTGATCCTCCTGTAGTCCTCCCTGAGCATCTGCACCCTGACGGGGAACTCCTCCACGAAGCGGCAGCACTGGTCGTGGCACACTGGACTGCAACATGCAGAGAAGACGGAAGACAGCAGGACCAAGACGGACAGGAGTTGAGGATTCATGATGCTGGACAAGACGGAGAAACGCTGCAGGAAAGTGGACCCTCGGGGAAGTTGAACGCACGGCCGGCTCAGTGGATTTCCGAGTGGACAAAAACCAAAAAATGCTCCTTTGGAGGATGCTTCTTTGGAGCTGAGAAGTGCATGATTTGGGGTTCATTTCTGCTGTCATTATATAGGCAAAAGGGAGGAGACTACCCGGAAGGGGTTAATCTATAGGGGATTTTTTCTTCTTCTTCTTTGCAGTAATGTGCTCCTCCCATGAACTAAACTCAAGGAAAAACCTTTAACCGCAGGGATTTGATATGACATAATATGTTGTTACATAAAAAATGTCCAAGAAACCCACTGTATTATCATTATTAAAAATAACAATATTATTATTATTTATTGTAATAGTATTGGTAATCTCTGCATAAACTGAGATATTGACCCAATTTTATTTTAAAACCCATTATTAATTATTATTATTATTATTATTATTATTATTATTACACTTATTGGTGCTGTAATAACTGCTTACAAGCACTAACATTACAACTTTTTTTAATGGCCTGAATGCAGTAGATTACAGTTAATTATTTCTGAGCATTTTCTCCTCAGTGGCAAATGAAACTAAACCCCCCCAATATGGAAATAATATCGAGTCGTGATTTGACTGCGATGACGCTGTGGATTCTCTCTGTGTGTCAGATATACGTAAGAAAACTGACAAGAGGGTGGGGGAGCGTGAAGATGCCAGCTCTCTGTTTTCTGTTTTTGTAATTCCACTGTCGAGGTTTACCTAGACTAGTACTGCACTGATAAACCACAGAGAAGTAACCGGGTACGATCAGAAGACAGTGTAAGGGGTGTTTTCCCCTCAGAACTTTTTGGAATGTCCACTTACCCTCAGCTGTCATGTGTCTGTCTGCCCGGCTCATGATTAGCCTGAGTCTGTGCGTTAGGCAACCCATGGTTTTTCAAGAATTTTACCATTCAGCCGTAGTGGTAAACCACCTCCTAATATGAGCTTTGCAATGACGATCTTCACAATCTGCAGATGCGTTTAAGTATGATTTGTTAGGGTTAACCATGAATTGTGTGTAACTCATGAAGATAAAATGGTTGTGCTCTTCAAGGAATTAGCTAAGCAGAAAGGTTTAGTTGCGCCCTGAACTTTTTGATGGCCGCAGAAAGTGATGCATGTCGGAACAGCCCGCAGAAAAGACAAGCATGAAGACGAAAGAGAACAAATACTTTTGTAGTATATCTGCACATTGGAAGAAAAATGAGCATGTCCTTCGATTTGTGCTGAGCAGCGAAAGAACATAATCGTCTTCTGTCTTAAAATTGTGGGTGAAAAGTGAGAAGACGTTCACACGAAGACGCCTGTTGGAACTATGAGACTTGGGACGGAGGTTTCACAACAACCACAAAGATCCAGGAGGACCATTTAGAAGTATTTTGGATGAAAGCACATATTGGAATAGTCTAGTCATAACCACACCCTTTCTGCATTGTGCTGGTTTCATTTAAAAATTAGGCCATGACACAGGATTTCTTTGGAATCGCTGTTTTTTCTACACAAAACAAAATGAAAACTAAGCTTAATTCCTGCTATTTTGCAATTGTAGATTCACTTAAATATTTACAGCACAGAATGGATTCATTTATTATAATGGTGATAACAAAAATTTACTTAATGAATCTCCCGCAGGATAACATGGCAAAAGGTGGGAGTGTAAGGGGGGCAAACAATTTAACGACAATACCATAGAAGAAGAAATAAATTAGAGGGCCTCCCAATCTTAAAGTTACACGGTTAGAACAATAACAGAGTTTTTAAAGGTGTTCAAGTCAGGTAGAGAACAATACAAATAACCAAAAATAAAAGACATTTTGTGTAACTATACCAAAAGAGAAAAGCGACCCGGTTACATAGTCAAAGTCCAGGCCTAAACTGATTGGGAGATTTTTGTTACAAGTTAATCAATCAATACAAGTAGGTTTAGATGCAACAAAAGATTAAATTTTTGTAAAATTAGGTTGTAAATTTTTGATGGTAATGTGACAAATTGTGAAAAAGTAAAAAAAAAAAAAAAGAAAAAAAAAGCCTTTATGAAAGACATTGTACACAATAGCTTTCATGAGTACATAAGTGGTTGGAGTCTTTTTATATTAATTTTTTTGGTAAAAAAAAAAAAAACAAAAAACAGTTCATCGTTAGTGAAATAGTATCAAAATCATATTTACTTGTACCTAAATTTTTAAGAAAAGTTGTTATTAATCACAAAGGCATCCGAATACTTCATCTGTTTTCATGAAGCCTTTCTGTGGGAGACAGCAGCCAAAACAGAAACTGTTCAGTTTCATGTTGTTGCGTCTGCAGTAAATTCCTCTTATCGACGGAAAACCGACACTACTGATAAAAGTCAAATTAAAATGTGGAAAACAATAGCTTCAGCAGATTTAAATTCAGATCAAAGCAAATGTTCTTCAGATTTAAAAAAAAAATGGACTTTTGAAATTTGTGTCAATAATTTAATTAGTCTTAATATGACATGTAAAAAAGGAACTATAGGGGGAAAAAAAGCTGATAAAGCTGTTCGTATTTCATCATTTCATAAAAATGGAATCTTTTCAAATAGGTTCAATTTCCTCATTGCAAAAGATAAGATTAGAAGTGAGATTTTATTCAATATCCAACATCTCACCCCCACCCATCTTTTGTGACTGTCAAGCACTTAATACGTATAAATTCCCGCCAACATGAGTTGTCTAAACCGGGGTATTTTAAGAATGAAAGAAGCAGCTGTTGACAGGTGACTGATGTGCTCACACACCAAATGACCAGATGAACCTAAGTGGGCTGCAACCACATAATTCAGTGAGTCAGCTTTTAGTCATCTACTTCGCGGAAATGCCTGTCATCAGAATTTTTCGTGTTGATGTGTTCGATATGCAGCGGCGTTTAATATTAGACCCCGACCCTTACGTAATGAGGCACTTCTTCTTTGGTTTCCTTGTTTCAGATCGATAGGGTGTCACGCTGAATCAGCCCAATCTTATCAGATGTCTGACAGTTTGTCATCTGTGCTGCGGCGTTTCTGATCAGGTGCTGATGTGGCGTCTCATTGTTTGACCCCTTACCTTCAAACCGGTTTCTAACGGAGTCACACCAGTGCCAAGAATCTGTCATCAGCACTTTTGAGCACATTACACGAAACCAGCCGATATCACACTCAGCCCACCACTTTGTGCCGCTATCGCCAGTGGCAGAAAATGTGTGAAGGCTTTACAGCAAACAGCTGACAGCTCTCTCTCTCTCTCTCTGCTTTAGGTCTCCTCGGTGAGATTCCTTTTGATCTGCAGAACCGAGTTGCACGACGTTCTGCAGCTGTGCCTTTACGTTTCCTCAGCCACCAACATCGCAATCTCTGCTCTTGTGCACATCGTTCTCCCGCAGAGTCTATTTGCAAATGTCATCTTTAGAGGAAATCGATTTGTCTTTTACCTACAGAGTCACCGCATTCGTCTTTCACTTTCACATTGTTTGTCCATTGAACTGTTTCGGTGATTTGTTTATGTTGAGTGCTTGGTGGCGCAGAACACAAGCAGAGACTGCAACGATTGTGTAAGCGTGTGTAGTTTTTCTTCCCTAGTTTCTGTTGCCAAATCTTCAAAGAAAAGAGGAAACTCTCAGAAATGCATTTCTGCGGGGCCATTACAGTTGGGTGACTTCCAACACTGACCACTTGCTCTCTGACAGCCACACATTCACGGATGTGGCAACACGCGTTGTGACCACACATTTTGTAATTCTGGTAGACATTTGCCCTTCCACAGTGTTATGCAGAACACACACACACACACACACACACACACACACACACACACACACAAAACAGCTTTTATAAGAGTTTCATTTATGTGAACAATCACTTGGACTTCCGATGAAATTCTTAGTCATGTCGACTTCCTCTCTGTCCCATCATCATGGCCGATATGAGTTGTTGATTCATTACTGTTAATACCCACAACACTCGAAGTTTTTATTTGGAAATCTCTCCAGCATAATCTGCTAAAACCCCTTCAGAGATCTCTTATCATATTTGCAGAACTGAGCCATAAACGTTGTGCGAACCTAAAGCAACACTCTGCTGAGCAAGCATACGTGGAGCAGAAAGATGAAACTTTGAAAATTTCCTCTGACCATAACTTTCACTTGACCCCGGAGCAATCGATGGTGCACTTTTAAATTGGTGTAGTTCCGATTATTTTGTTGCTTAATGCAAGTCAAATGTTTTGCAGAGTTTTCCATCCTAATTTTAGAGCTGGTGCATTTCAGTTCAATGCGTAAGCAAATTCATGCATAGGGCTAACTGCTTAAAATGGTGTTAACCGCAGTTAAGTAAGCACTGTTCATTGTGACAACTCAAATTTTCCCAAGGTTTTTAAACATATGAGTTCTGAATCAGTGAAAGTAAAAAAAGAGCGCAGTTTCTAAATGCAAATCCAACAATGAGTCACAGATTTTTGGGGGATGATATGTATTTTAGCAGTGCGATAATTGATCCTCAATGATAGCACTTGCTGCAAAGTGAAGGTCAAGTTTGGCAGAAATGACACAAACGTGAGGCCTAATATTTACACTTCCACCCTTAGGTGGTGTGGTTAGAGAGTCGGAGCTTTTTGTCTACAGTCTCCTCGTCTGCAACAACCTCCCTCAGTTTTAGTCCAAAGCAAGAAAAACAAGCATCCTGTTTACTTAGCGATCCTCTACTGGCTCCTAAACTGTACTTTTTGATTATTGTTAGAGGAGCTAATGTTTTCCTAAGCTATTTTGTATTCATACTACTGGAGGACCTACTACAAATTTTTCTTGCTTTGCTGACTTTACTCCCTATAGTGTCACTAATAAGTGACATTATTGCTCTTGTTGACTTTGGGATCTCTCTGCCTTCATTTCCTCTAATGGAGGACAGCCGTGGCTAAACTGTGTCCGTCTCCTGCAGACACTCAATGAGAGAGCTACTCCCACCATCAGGCCTGTGAACACTTTATTTTACTCAATTCTCAGGGAAACTTCTCCCAGTTGTTCTGTGCATATCTTGATAAAGTCACTAATAGAGCTGTTGCTGTGGACCCTGGTGAACAGCTAAAATCAGCAAATAATCGAGGCCCGCCATTAAAATGCTTATATCCATTTTAACAGTTCAAGGCGCCAAGTATATTCAGTCTGCTTTAATACTGTGGAAATTATTTTGACGCCAACGCAGAAGCTAAACGTCCACAGTCTCCCTTTATGTGCGCTCTTGAGGTACAGCCAATCAGTGCCAAGGAAAGTGAGTGACGCTCCTAGATTGCTTTGCAAGCAGCAACTTATAATGTGTGAAGCAGCATTGCACTGCAAAAACACAAAATCTTGCAAAGTATTTTTGATCTGGTTTCTGGTGTAAATATCTGAGTACACTTGGATTAAGTCAACACTAACTTGCAAGTAACTTTTCAGCACAAAAAAAAGGAGTTTAGGTGAATAATTTCTTAATACTGATGAGAAAGTACTAGTTATAAGTGAAATAATCCGGCAGAGGAAAAAAGACATTATCCCCATATTATGATTTATAATACGGGTCTTGTAAACTAGACCAAAAGTACCTGGCAAGACTTTGTGTTTTAGCAACTTCTCAAGCTGCTTCTTCTTTATTTCAGATGGGCTCCAGAGAACATGTGAGGTGAATTTTCTGCAAATAATTTGGAGTCACATACCACAGAAAAATCTGCAAACAGGCCACGGATAGGTGGGGGCCACTGTAAGTACGAATACTCTCTGTACAGAAAGTACTCCTGGATAACGGATTTTGTATTTGGTTGCCTCTCTTTCCTGGACAGAGTCCAGTATCTTCGTGTTTCTCTTTGTTCTGTTTTTCCCTGAATCACTCCACTGATAAGAGGCTAAAGTTACCTTAGTGCACTCTTTACCATAGAAAGTAGACATGGTTCAGAGCTTTTTTTTCTTATTATTATTTTTCTCTAAAATTGTTTTAAACCAAAGTTTTTTTACCTGATGTAATATCTGTTTATTTTTATTCTGTGAATAGTAGTTTATTTACAGAACAAAAGCACGTGTTCCCTTTTTCCACCTGCCCACTTCATGTCTAAATAAACATCTAAAAATGATGCCTAAATTCCTTTGCCCTGCTAGCAGTGCTCTTTTTCTTGCCTAATTTGGAAACAATTTGCCTCACATGTCAAGCTACGTGTCAGCCTTAAAGAGACACTTTTTCTTTTGTTCAGGTTTCCTGTTTTGTATCTACTGAGCAAGCATTCTTCTGTTGGAAACTTGAGAAGCGGCCAAATGTTGTACAACAGACAAATGACTGCTGTGTTTTTTTGACACACTTTATGAAGCATCTGAAACTTAGAACTACACATCAGGTGATTTATTTAAAACGAACGTCTATACCAGAAGTCGTTTTTCACTTAACCTTAAGCATGCCTGACCTAGTTAGTCAAGACTTGGAAATGCATCACCCGTTAAAGCGCATTTGATACTGCGATGCACTCGGGTTGCATAAACGTTAGAAGAGGAGCAAAACTGAAACTCAAAGTAAATTCAGTTCAAAACACCTTTGGCTATTGATGTGAACGAAGCGGTTCAAGTAGCCCTGGCTGTTGAATATTCACTGTGAACTGAAATAATCAGTAAGAGATGGAAGAGCAAGAACGTTCATTTCAGATGAAATACAGCAACTGCTAGAGACCGTCATGTTCTTCACAGACCGTAAGATTTAGAGGCAAAAAGATAACAGCTTTTTTCATTACATATGTTTACTTTACAACTCTGTAGTTCTGAAAGAAAATGCTTAATTACATTAAATGATCTTTGTGGAATCACAAGACGATCACGTTGCGCCATGTTCTCATTGGTCCTTCAGAAAAATGCGATAAAATTCAGTGAAATGCCAAAGAAAATCATTTTGAAGACTTGGACAGTGTCCGCCTTTCAACCACCGATTATCTCAAAAATGCTGCAGAACAGGGGATGAAGCAGCTGCACAGTTTGCCTTTTGACCGCAACTCAGAGAGAGTTAGAGAGGAAAGATGTCAGTTCAACACTGGAATCAACTCCACAGCATGAGAGCGTTTCTGTTTCACTTCCATCCGTTTCTCAAGAGGACGCGTTTCTTCTGGATTCATTTAGAACGACCACATGAACACATTTATATGGATGAATCTGGTTGGTCACTGTTGCCATGTCACAGTTTTTTTTCTTGATTGCTTTGATTTGCTTAAAGATCACTGGGGATCTGCTCCGTTTACATCATCTGTTACTCAGCAGAGCAGAAGACGCGTCTTGCAGATGAGTTTATTGGTTTGACACATTTTCCCCCTCACACTGTTGCAAAGCTGCTATCACAGATGCCATTCAAGCAGTCCCAACTCCATTGTTTTAGCCATGGTAACACTGGGTGGTGCCAATAATTTAAGTTGACAGAAAGTGAAATGAGCCAGAAACGCCACCCAGTTAAACTAGGAACGAAAAATAAATAAAGGCAGAAATGAGCAGGGTTTCAAAAACCAGCCGGTTAAAATGTACAATAAATTCATAAAGAATAAATAAAAAGGCAGTGGCCTGTGTCTAAATCTTAAACCCAGCTGTAGAGCAGTCTGTAGGATAAAATATATTAAATAAAGAGCATCACAATCAATAAAAGTCTTCAGGACAAGGGAATAGCAGAGTCTTAGCTAGTGGTCCTCCCGGCGTCTGCGCAGCTTTCCTCAGCGGCCTCCAGCGATCCCCAGCGCTCGGTCCTGCGCCCTCGACACCAGACCTGGATGACTGCACACCTTCCAGCTGTACACGATCTACTATTACAACTACTGTTCATCACCTGGGATCTGGGTACTTGGCTCCACGTCTCCCGGATCAGATGTGGCTCTCGGCCCCTGCTCATTTCGCCGCGCCTGCTCCGCACGACACGGGCTCGTCGCCGCCTGCTGCTCTTCTGTCTTCAGCTCTGACGATCTGCTCTTCTTACTTCCCAATTTATGGCTTTCAAGCCGCGGCAGCTGCTTGGGAAAACCTATGGGAGCCCTCAGTGGGCGTGTCATGGGAGGCAGTCCCAACCTCAAAGACATGTGGCGCAAAGTGAATCAGGGAAGCAGCATGCAACACAACAACCCCAAATGAAAGCAAGATTAAAATAACACAGCAAAATTAAGTGATTCCAAAAATATCACTAAATAAACACATGAACATGTGCAAATAAATCAAAAGGGCCACGTTGCCACGGTAACCAGAAATCACCTGCCCTTATAAACTGCCTAATAAACTGAAACTGTCTAGATTGGTATGAAACCATTGAAGCACGTTATTCAAATTCCTTACCACAAGGATCAGAAATGCTTTGATGCAAATTTTATTGCTTCCGCAACATTTTTTTTTAAACTGTGAAAACTGAAATACTGTGAATTATAAAGAAAACACCGCAAATATAAAGTGAAAAATCTATGAGAATAATAAACATAGAAAATCAAAACGAAGCGATTTTTGTTTGGTTACCTTAGTTAAAGCAATGGCATCGTTTGGACTGCTGTGTTCGCGCTGTGCCAGTGTCATTGTGTGGAGCAACGTGAGTCTAACTATGTCGTCCAGGTCACAGCTGTTCAATACCAGACAAGAATTCCCGTCTGTTTTCCTTCATCCATTTCTCTTTCCCAACAGATGAGTTCTTCTCTTTATGCCGGTAGAAAGTTTGTGACCAACATCAGAGAAAATCTCTTGTAGGCCTTAGAGTCTGGCTGCAGTGTGAATATCTAGTGTGGATTTGGGCATGTAGTGTTTGATGTAGAGGAGGTCCTGCTCCAGCGTATCAACATGGAGAGAAGATACTGTGTAAGTACAAAAAACATGACAGCAAAGTCTGGGCTTTCTCCCTTCGCTTGAATTCCCTCCGGCAGAACTTCAATCTGGTCAGTCACCGAACAGAAGAAGAAGCTGTGAACGATGACTTCTCTTTTAAGAGCTGGAGTCTGCCTGTAATTTTAGGATTGGCGGCGGAGGAACTGAAAGAGGCTGTTCAGTCCGAACTGGCCTCGCTTATAAAATTATTGAACATTAAAAGGGCAAGCAATTTCCGGTAAGCTTCATAGCGTTGAACTGGCACATTGTGTACATGTCAACAGTACAAACAGTAGTGATTTGGTCAAATTTAAAACCTGAACAGAGTCTCTAGCCGAGAGCCCAGACCCTCTGGACGAAACAAAGTGTAGAACAAAAAGCTTGTTTTTCCCAGACTAGAAGTGTTTGGGTTGCTTTGGTTTTTCTTTTATTGAAAGTATATATTTATTATCCACCAGCAGGTGTATAATAAACAACAAGGATTACAAAGTGACAAAAAGCAAAAAAGGGGCATTGATCTACAAAATACTTATCCAGGGTAACACTTTATTTGAAGGGGGGTGAATAAGACTGACATGACACTGTCATAAACATGACATAACACCTGTCATGAACATGAATGAGCCTTCATGAATATTTATGACTGTTGTCATAAAGCGTCATTCGGTAAATTATGACACTTTTAATACAAAGTTGACATTATTCAAAATGTCTTTGTTATGACAACTTGACATTAACCAATAAATCATTACTGTTTAAACTTTACCTTTAATAACATAAAGTTACCTCATTTTTAAAGTGCAATCATTAATATATTTATAACAAATTTATATCAGTAATGATTTCTTAGTTCAAAACAAAAACAAAACGCACAACATGGTCCATCGGTGTCACAACAAACATGAAATTGATTAACATGTGAATTAGGATGTGCTTTTTTCTTCTAATGTTGGCATTTGTTTTCTAATTTCAGTTATTTTTCTGTTCACTAATTCATTTATCTAGTGTCAAATATTTTGGGAAAAAGTGGAGAAGGAAGGGGAAAAAAGAAATCAAGCACAAAGAGAATAAATAAATAAAGTATATGCCAGAACAAAGACTGAATAAAGATGAAACGCTGTGGGGGTTTTTTCTGTTTGCATTTTTACTTAATCTGTGATCAGCCTTCGTTTTTATTTGATCTGTAGATCAGTATTATCCTTTTTACTCCTTGTGTTTAGTTATTCTTTATTCCTTTAGAGTTAGTTTCTTTCTCTCTTCTTCTCTCTCTCTGTTCATTCTTCCGTTGCTCTGTGTTCCCGTCTGTCTGTTCCTGTCACCGCACTCGTTTACTTCACGGTACCTCTTGGATTTATCTGCTCACTGCCGTAGCTTCAGACAGGAATCTATACGCTTTCGCAAATCATCGGGTTTCTCGTAATTTATGCGCACGATAGTCTTGAGCTTGAACAGTTGAAACCGATTTCCTTCCATAGCAATAAGACTTTAGGTTTGTTTGTTGTTTCCAGCCTTTGCTCATTTTTCTCACAACGCGTCATGCTTTTGGTTTACCTGAAACATTTTGTTGTTTTGTTAATTGTTGTGTACCTGCGTCAGACCAAACAGTTTCTGAGTGTAGAGAGCTTACTAAAAGTCAGAAGGCCTACCAGAAACCTGTCTGGTAATATTTGTTTCCCTTGTAAATGTTCAGAATAACGTTCAGTGAGAGAGATACTTCACTGCTGGTCTTCCTGTTTGAGTAAAAAACAGGCATTGCATCACAACTTGTCTGTGTATGGTCTTCCTTGACTTGTCAGAGTAATTTTGCTCTATATTTAGGGAATCTATTAGATGACTAATGATGAGCTCAAAATCTGTGTGCGTTGTGTCCGGGAAGTATTCATAGTGCTTCACTTTTTCCACATTTTATTACGGCCTCATTCCGAATAATGTAAAATGATTTTCTTTCCCCAAAGTTTTACACAGAAATACCCCCTAATGACCACATTGAAAATTTGGTTTGCAAACTCATTATACATAGAAATCACATAAGCATTCATAACCTTTGATTAGTGTCTTCTTGATTCACTTCGTTTTGAATTTGACGCAACAAGCTTAGCTCACGTATTTTTAGGCATTTTGGCCTATTTTATTCTCCATTAAGGCTGTTTAAACATTTCATGGTGAAACAGCTCAACTTTGATTATCAACAAAGTATTAAGCAAAGTTTGTGTATACTTCTCTAAATGTTATTCCTTTTTTCTGCTTTTAATACATTTGCAAAACACTCAATTTTTTTTTTTGTCATAATGGAGTATTTTTGTGTAGACTTTTAAGGAAAGAGATTCACTTTATTGTAATCGATAGACTTTATTTCATTTTCAGACAGTTGTGGAGGGATTTATGTTGCCTTGCAGTAAAAAGGTGGTGGCTTCAGAAAGCCTGGGTCTGATCCTGCTGTGTATGCACAGTGAATGCATGGTTCCCTCTGGGTACTCCGGCTTCCTCTCACAATCCAAAAATACAACCGTTAGGTTAATTTGTGTCTGTAAATTGTGAGCGTGAGCATGTCGGCCATGGGTGTACCCCGCCTCTCACCCAGTGACCACTAGAGAACGGCTCCAGCCCACTGTGACTCTGCACAGATATGTGGGTTTAATTAATAAAAAATACCATCATCAATCACATTATAGCTGATCTAAGGATAAAAGTATAAATGTATGTCACTTTTGAATAACCCAGTGTAGGTATTGTCCTGTTGATGTTCTTTTAAACACCCTGTGCCTCAACAAAAGAACATTAGGAAACCTTTAAAACACAACTTCAAAGTTTCACAGTTCACCACTTCCTGGTTTCTGCTTAAGTAAAAACTGCACAGCCAGTTTCGATCACTTTCCAACAAAAAGTGAACATTATTTCTTAAGAAGACGACCCGAATGTGCATAAAAGCATGAAATAAATGCATCTTCGCCATAGCAGCGTAAACTGAAAAATGTGGAAGGTCCAACCTGCAATGTTGATACTTTGACTCCTTCATCAAAGATTCCTGTTTTTGCTAATTATTATTATTATTATTATTATTATTATTATTATTATTATTATTATTGTTATTGTTATTGTTATTATTATTATTTTCTTTTTTTTTAAACCAAATTACTGGTCACACAATTATCAGCCCCCCTGGCATCAATACTTTATAAAACCCTCCCACAGCCGAGCACTCAGATCTACAAAGTTTCACAAGTTTCTATCGAGATTCTCCACCGTCCCAGGAGCGCCATCCTGCTCTCTTCACAAGTCTGCAGACTGAGAGTATCGTAGAAGAAGGGATTTTGTATTTTGTGTTGATTTGACAATAATGAAAAAGTTTGGAATATTTTCCCTGGTGAAATGAAGGTTTAACTCCAATTATCACCGTCTTCTTCAGAAGCATGTTTTTCTCTCACTTAGTGGGCAGTGTTTTAACAATTTTTGTCATTGACCAAACTAGGTGGGTGTTATTTTTTTGACAAGTCTGCAGTATTAGTCACTATGTTCTAACATGCCTAGTTAATCACATGTATTACGGAAAGATAAGCAGATTTCACTCTAAAACACGAAACCAAACAGGTTTCTTAACGTCATGCAATCATGCATGTCGAGTTATTTTACCCACAAGGATGATCTTTGGGTTTTATTGGAATGCAGAGTGACTCATAACGTAATCACACGTTAAACTAAAAAATTTGCTCATGTCAAATGAAAATGATCAAATCTAAGAGAAATTTAGTTTGCTGCTTTTGCAGCAGCGTGGCACGCAAATTCAAGGTGGCAGCATTAATCATGAACCTAAATTTAAATAATAAAAATGGAATCTGACTTACAGTAACAAAAATAAAACATTGCATGAGGAAACTTTAAAAGACTGAGACTTTTAATTTCAGTATAACTACATCACATGTTCACCCTCCTGATCAACACCTTCGTCTGGTTTCTACATCTGTGTAATCTTTATATTTGGTATATAAGGATCAATTGTTATCCAGTACATTTGTTGAATGTACCAGATGAAAACTGTTATTTTTGAAACTAGTTTTGTTTTCTTGTTTTTTTTGTTTGTTTGTTTTATGGCTTCTTGTCCTGTTACAATTGAATAAGAA